TCCTGGTGCTTTTTTGGACTGAGGAGGGAATCTGGTGCTGCAGGAAGCCAGGGTGGGGGTTCAGCCATCCAGCTACCTTTCTACAGTGCGTTTTCCCCCTCCCGGGGAATGAATCCCCCCAAAAAAGACCCCTGGGACAGGGGGGGACGAGGTTTCAGGGGCGCCTCCAGCCTCGAGCATTCCTCCACCGCCAGGGGGCGCTGCGGCACCTGCCTCCTCGGCGGCGCTCTGTGCACACAACCGGAAGTGTCTGTGGGCGGGGCGGCCAAGATGGCGGCGGACACGGCGGCGTCGGGCTTCGAGCACATGGGGCTGGACCCGCGGCTGCTGAGGGTGGGGGGCACGGAGGGGGAAACAGGGGCCTTCGGGACACGGGGAGGGGGCTCGGCCCCACGGGAGGGGTCCACGGGGAGCGAGGAGACGCCTTGAGGGGGCTGAGAGGGTTTTGGAGTCCCTGGGGACCCCACCATGGGGAGAGGGTGTCTTGGGGGGGCACTGGGGACCCCGGGTTTGGGGGGGATGTCTGTAGGACAGAGTGGGACAGTGAGGACCCCCGTTTTGAGGAGGGGGTGTCTGTGGGCCCTGGGGGGCACTGGTGACCCCACCGTGGGGAGGGCGTATCTGGGGGGGGGTTCTGTGTCCCCCACCATGGGCAGGGGCTGTCCTAGTCCCTGTGGTGACCCCGGTGCCCCCCCAGGCTGTGGCAGAGCTGGGCTGGGCAACTCCCACGGCCATCCAGGCCCAGGCCATCCCCCTGGCATTGGAGGGCAGGGACCTGCTGGCACGGGCCAGGACGGGCTCCGGGAAAACAGGAGCCTACGGGCTGCCCCTGCTGCACAAACTGCTCAGCATCAAAGAGGTGAGGGCATGGGGGGCACGGGGGATGGGGGGGTATTGGGCATCCTGGCAGTGGGGTCATGGGGGCACCTTGGGGTGTTGGGTGGTGGGGGGCACCATGGGGCATCCAGGACATGGTGGGCTCTGTGGGGCACAGGGGTGTCCTTGGGGTCCCTGTCCCCCCCGGTGTCAGTGCTGGTGCCCACAGGCTGTGTGGGCACTGGTGCCCTCGGGGAGTGCAGAGCCAGGCTCCATGGCACATGGGGGGATCCCTGTGTCCCCCAGTGACAGCCCCTGTCCCCCAGGCGTCCCCAGCGCTGCCCCAGGCCGTCCGTGCCCTGGTGCTGGTGCCCTCGGCAGAGCTGGGCCGGCAGGTCGGGCACACCCTGCGCCAGCTCTCGGCCTTCTGTGCCCGCCGGCTGCGTGTGGTGGACCTGTGCTCACAGAGCGACCCTGCTGCCCAGAGGTGAGGGACCCCCTGTGTGCCTCCCTCTGCCCCCTGACCCTCCCTGTGCCCCCTGAGCCCCTCAGCCCTCCCTTACCTCGTGTGTGTGCCAGGCCCGTGCTGATGGAGCAGCCTGATGTCGTGGTGGGCACCCCGGGGCGGGTCCTGGCCCACCTGGGCGGGCACAGCCTGAGCCTGCGGCACTCGCTGGAGCTGCTGGTGCTGGATGAGGCCGATCTGCTGCTGTCCTTTGGGTTTGGGGATGACATCAAGGCCCTCCTCTGGTGAGGGGGCACAGGGGGGTGTGGGGGACATGGACAGGGCACACGGGGGTGGGGAAGGGGGTACTGGGACCACTGCTGGGGGTGGAGGGCATGGAGGGCAGTGCCAGGGGTTTGGGGGCACTGAGGGTTTGGGGGGCACTGGTGGGGTAGAGGGCCACAGGGAGCACTGATGGGGGCGTGGGGGGCAGGGGATGGGAGCATGAGGGGGCTCTGCTGGGGGCACTACCAGGGCTGGGGGAGGCAGCAGGGCTGGAAGGGGTGGAAGGCACAGCCAGGGGGTTGGGAGACACTGTTGGGGGTGGAGGTTGGGGGGGGGCACAGCCCAGGAGTTTGGGGGGCACTGAAAGTTATGGGGGCACCACCTTGGGTTTGGAGGGCACTGCTGGGGTTTGGGGGACATTGTTAAAGCAGGGAGACTTGGGGGCACAGCGAGTTTGGGGGGCATTGCCAGGGCTGGGGGGTACAGGGGGGCTCAAGGGGGGCAGCAGAGCATCACCAGGCCTGGTGCCAGGGGGCCTGGGGGGCACTGAGCCCCCTGTTCCCCTCAGCCACCTGCCCAAGATCTACCAGGCCCTGCTGGTGTCGGCCACGTTCAACCCCGAGCTGGAGGCGCTGCAGGAGCTTGTGCTGCACAACCCTGTGAGGAATGAGGGGCTGGGAGGGGTTTGGGGCATCCAGGGGGAGGTTTGGGGGCTCTGAGGGAGGTTTGCGGGATCCAAGGAGGATCCAGAGCGGGCACAAAGATGGGAAAACACTGGGATTTGGGAACACCACCCCCCAGGAGCAGATTTAGAAGACACAAGGAGCCCAGAGGACCCTGTGGGTGCCACAGCCCCCCCGTTTTTCCCCGTTCTCCCCCGTCCCAGGTGCTGGTGCTGCCCCCGGAGCCGCGGCTGCCGGGCCATTCCCAGCTGCAGCAGTTCCAGGTGCGCTGTGGGACGGAGGAGGACAAGTTCCTGGTGCTCGTGGCGCTGCTGCAGCTGCGGCTGCTGCGGGGCCGGGCCCTGCTCTTCGTGGGCAGCCTGGCCAGGGCCTTCCGCCTCAAGCTCTTCCTCGAGCAGTTCGGCATCCCCGCCTGCACCCTCAACTCTGAGCTGCCCGCGGCCTCCCGGTATGCCAGGGGCGCTGGGGGGGCCCTGGGGTGTCCCTGGGGTCACAGGGGTGTCTCTGGGGTCACAGGGATGTCTCTGAGGTGGTGACAGGGGTGTCTGTGAAGGGTCTCAGTTTGGGATCCCCACCTGCACCCTCAGCTCTGAGCTGCACATGCTGTCCCCGTATTCCAGAGGGCGGGAAGGGGGCCTGGGTGGGGTGGGGTGTTCCTGGGACGGTGGGAAAGAGGGTGAAGGGGATAATGGGGTGCTCAGGGATGTTCACGAAGGAGATCAGTTTGGGATTCCCACTTGCTCCTGGTATTCCCAAGGGGATGGTGGGTGCCTGGATGGGGTGGGGTGTCCTTGAGGTGGGAAAGAGGGTAAAGAGGAGAACGGGGTGCTCACGGGGTCCTCGAAGGGCTCGGGGAGTGATGGGGCACCCAGAGAACACCTTGGCATGCCCCCTGAGCCCCTGGGGGGTCTCCCTGGGGACAAAGGGGGTGTCTCAGGTGAGTTGTGGAGTGCCAGGGGAAGTGCCGGGGGGGATAAGGACACCATGGGGGTCCCTGGGAGCTGGGTGGTCACGGGGGGGTTCCTGGGGACAAGGGAGTGTCCCTCGGGTGCCAGAGGAAAAGGTGGATTGAGGACACCCCGTGAGGAAGGACAGGAGTCCCTGGGGGTACCCAGGGGGTGTCACACGAAGGAGGGTGGGCACACTGAGGGTCTCCTCTGTCCCCAGGTGCCACGTCATCGCCCAGTTCAACCGTGGCCTCTACGACTTCATCGTGGCCACCGACGAGGAGGGGCCTGTGGAGACCCCCCAGCGCCAAGCACGGAAAGGGGGGACCCCGGGGTGAGCACGGGGGTTGGGGGATGTCACCAGGGACCCATTGGTGCCACCAGTGTCCTGTGGGTGGCACCAGTAACGAGGGGGTGACACCAGGGACCTGGGAGTGCAACCAGTGCCCTGAAGATGCCACCAGGGAGCCACTGGTGCCACCAGTATCACATGGGTGACACCAGTGTCCTGTGGGCATCACCAGGGACCTGGGTGGACACCAGTGTCCTGTTCCTGTGCAAATGTGTCCCCCTTGGGGGGCTCAGGGTGTCCCTGTGACTGTGGCCTCACCGTGCCCAGGGTGTCCTTGTGCCCACGGGATCCCCTTTTCCAGCCTCCCTGTCCCCATATCCCAGAGGCCCACTTGCTCTGGGTGTCCCTCCTGAGCCCCCCCAACCCCTGGTGTCCCTGTGTCCCCCCAGGAAGGGGAAGGGGAAGGCCAAAGACAAGGGGAAGGCCAAGGACAAGGGGAAGGCCAAGGCCCAGGACCCCGAGTATGGGGTTGCGCGGGGCATCGACTTCCAGAACGTCTCGGCCGTCATCAACTTCGACGTCCCCCCCACAGTCGAGTCCTACATCCACCGCGTGGGCAGGTCTGTGTGGGCACTGGGGGGACCCCAGGGGTGCCAGGCTGGCCGTGGTCCCACCCTGTGTCCCCCCTGCACCCCCCAGGACAGCCCGTGGTGACAACCCTGGCACAGCACTGACCCTGGCGCTGCCTGAGGAGCACGAGGGGCTCACCCGCATCGAGGACGCGCTGGCAGGAGGTTTGGGGGTCCCTGTGCCACCTGGGGGGCTGGGGGACACTGGGGGACTG